ACTGCCGAATCTATAACAATTAGGATCACGAAGCCGGAGTTGTGCAAGCAAGGTAATTTGGTTCAAGCGCTGCTGTTACCGTGGCCACAAGAACAATTTCTCATATCTTTATATGACACTTTCTGTCTTCTCCCTCCCCCACTTCTCATTCACTGTCTTTTTTGTACACTTTTCATATCCAATTCACACATTTTCATCCGGCTTTCCCCTATCCAATTATCGTGACCCCACAGCTTGTTGTCAACCAAACATTTTGCACACAGACATTCCCTCAAAATCAGCCTAGGCCTTGTATTATTCTACTGACTAATCGAACCATACACGTAAATGCCTGAAGCGATATATCGAAAAGAAAGTTCTTCGCGTTTTGACTTTGTTTCTTATAATTTATTCAACTGCTACTCCTAAGTATTTGCGGATATAGGATAGAAACAGGGAAGTATTTTATTTACTGAATTCACGCGAACAGAAGAATTTAAGTCAGGTTAAGAAAAATTGAACGCGTTCTAGCAGTAACATGGTTAGAATGGTGACACAAAGCTCACTTAGTTGGATCCGGTTGAAATAAACCACGGCGAGCAAGAAAGGTTGCTCGTTGAGGCAACAAGTGTGGGGCGGCAGTGAGGGCTTCTGGCCACGTTGGAATCACCTCGATTGGCAGATCCAGTCGCAAGTGCATGAATACAAAGTTAGCCACGAGACGATCCCTTTCTGTGAATTGGGGAAAATGAACGGATAAATGCACTTTAGGATAGCACGACTGGTATGTTAGATGTTCAGAAATAGAAAGTACCGAAATTTTGACTTTCACCAAATCATGACCCACGGGACGTTTCCCCAAATATTCCAGTCAGAAGACAATCGCGAATTTGGGAGTTTACTGGCAGTGCCAGAAAAAGTACAATGACTTACGGAAAACCGTGATATATTTATAGGGTTGCGCGTGGTGTAGATTTTGCCGGAATGGAAATTGCGACAACCTCGATGAAAGAAATAGATAATTCAGATTTGCCGTATTCTGTTAACTACCCTGGATCCCACGTATTCTGTAACATCGATAAAACACCGGTACATTCCCACGATGGCCATTGGTCTGAATCTATTCCAAATTGATATCGTGGGGATTCTCCGGCGAAAGTTGGTTTTCCCCTGATAGTAACATTTTCCGTTAAACAACGTGTTCCTTTTAAGGGTGAAGTTGCGGCAGAAACATTCATAAGACGACTGAACAGAGTAGTCAAAGCCACATTCAACGCCGGCTTTTCAACGTAAAGATAAACTGCCGGTTGATCGCTTCAGATGCGTTTATGATGCACAGGTGGTTCGCGATCTAGCACAAGTGCGGTTCTCGTCCACTTGGTAGACACTGGTCATCGTGTTAACCCAAATGAAGCAGTGCGCATTATTTACCAGGTTCCCTATAACCGGTCTAAATATGTTAGTGTGTACGTTGGCCATAGCCGAAGCCATATGTATCAAACATTTGACCCCCGAACTATGTGCCCAGAAGCGACTTATCCAAGTTCTCCATCTCCCCTGGGTTCATGAGCCTACCCCTCCCCTGCTCACACACCGAACTGGGTCACACGACCAACGTGACATAACTGAAAACCCCGGAAGCACGGATCTGAGAATGTGGTGTGCAACACACACAAAGTGATTGATTCCTCACATCTTGATGTTATCCTCCCAACCCCTAGGCTTCCTCTTATATAAAGTGTAAAGGTGTGATTATGAATTATTGAAAAAAATTGTTCGCCCAAAATTGTATTCAAAATAAATTTTTCAGGTTAGAAGCACAATGTTCAATTCAAATCAGTTTATCAATGCATCCGTCTACCTTTCGAATGGTTCCTAATAAGAATGGTATCGTTTATGAAGATTGTGATAAGAGTCATTTCATTTGTCGAAAATGAATCCGCCTGGTAATTGTCTCACGTCTGTTTCGCATGTGGCACCAGTGACAACAGGAGGGCCGATTAACTGTAATTTGGCACAGAAAATGTGGCATTTTCTGACGGGAAACAACTCGATAACCATGTTCACTCTGGAGGGATGTTGAGTGGCAAAATCGCTCAGAGTTGACAGCATTCGCACAAATGGGGTGACTGCTCTTCGGACGTACGCTGCACGGGCCAGTGAGCACTGTTTTATTCCCATTTCAATTAATGTTATTACCTTTAGGGATACCCGAGATTCTTAGGAGAATTCTAGTCTAACCAACGAAAAGATGATTTGGAAATCTCTTTGGTGCTGGAAGTTGCCCGAATTTCCTCTTTATTAATGGCTTCGTGGAGACCTAGGTAAAGGAAAGAACTCTAAAACATTACACATTCATCGATTCAATCTTTTTTTTAATTTCAAACGCATGTGGTGAACATCAGTCGGGATAAACGCCATAGTTGCGATGGCCTGCTTTCATTCATGAAGACCGGCAACCTAATCTCCGGGTCTTTGATTTGATAACTACGTGCGATCTCCACTACCATAGGCGTGGTACTGGGTCGGGCTCTCGGGAGTTTAATCCTCAAAAATCAAGGTTGTGTGAAGTTCTAAAAATACAGTAAGTTCCTGTTGACATACTATTGAAAATCGGTTCTCGTAGCTCGGGTGAAGCGAATTCTATTTCGCCTTTTCGCCGGACTGGGCAATTTGTTTACAAACGTTTCATCACCAACCGAGGTGTCATTATCGGTGTTTGTGAAGTGGCGAAACAAAATACAGTAAGTTCCTCCCCAGTTGTACAATAATTCTGACTCTGCGCGTCTACGACTGAATCATCGATGCTGTCCTCTGCCTTTCTGGCTGAGAATCGTAGAGCATGCATATTTTCGAGTTGGATTCACTGACAATGAGCACAGGGTGGTTTCGTTTTAAAAAAGAGAATTTCGGATAGTAAAGCGGTTTGCTATGGTTGATCAGTGGTTGCTACAAAAACAAACAACAAGTGGTTCGCTTAGTTTTGCTTTACGCAAATAAAAAAAATAATAAAAACTGAGGTTAACATAAATCTGAATTGTCACCAACGGCATCTCAAGATATTTATATGAGGCACACTTCTCACCGGTGACCAACAAGATGGGATGATGACAAGCCATTCTTCGACAGACATCATGAGCAAATCCGAACATCTTCGTCACGACCACATAGGTATCCTCGGAAAAGAAAAACAGGAAACGCAGACATCAGCCAAATCTCGTGAGTTCAATAAAACAAAATAATCGTGGGCTCTTTGTGAAACATATATACCAGCCACCTGGAAAAGTGAGTAATAAAAAGAGGTATAACGATTTATTACGTTTTAAGCATCTGTCCGATGATTTAGTAATAACCATCATAAGAATCAAACAATGTAGCCGGTTGCAGTAGCTCAAGAACGAGTGGAAATTACCCTCTCAAGGGTTGACCCCTGTTTGTGCACCCTCGGAACAGTCAATTGAGGCCAGATTAGAGTGTGGAGAAAAGGAATTAACAAAAGCTCACTTACTATTAAACTCGTTTTGACTGTCTGAAAAAATACGACCCATAAGTGGATACCGCGAACAAAATGTTTCTTCCACTGTCACGCATATAATCAAACTGAATGAAATAGTTTCGAACCCGCAGCCCGCTTAACAAGGACACAAAACAACGGTGAGCGTGGAATAGGCTATTGGGTGCGTGGTTTTTCGATAGAGATATTAAATCAATAATATCAATGGAACAGACAGTGTACATATTTTGTGCTAGCCAAGAAAAACCACCCACATTCCAAGTAGAATCCCACAAAGAGAAAAAGGTGAGCAGCATGCGTGACAAATACAATCGGAACTATCACAAATAGAGCAATTCTATTCAGCCCTGGCATGAGCTGGTTGGCACAGTGCTAACGCAGACGCCTTCCATGCGATGGGTCCCAAGTTAAAAGCCCGGACGGGACGGTGGATGTGTAAAAGAGCTTCCTGAAAATCGGCCTATTTCCATGACAAATTGAAGTCGACCAATAAGAAACCACCAGAAACTTCGTGGAATGTGCTGGAAAGCACACGAAGTTACTTGAGTCTTTCCGATCTTATTAGTTACCTTCGCTCTGGACCGTTTCAACATTGGTTACAATGCGTATTTTCTAGGGTTCCCAAAGCCACTTAATGTTTAAATAATGATCACGTTTTTCCCTTGAAATGTAACGCGTTGGTGCACCCTTGAATACAATTTCGCGCTACTCTTCTTGGTTCTTGATTTTGGGAGGTCGGTGGTTGACTAGTTGGAACTGGACGTTTGAAAGAGTGATTTTCGAGACATAACAACCACAATACTCTGAAACACAACTCCGTTGTCCACAATGATGAAAACGGTTTATTGCGCCATAATAAACTCATATTGTAACGTTTTATCTAATATGCAATTTTGCTGTCAATCTCAATTATTGGATTCAAACACAACATCTAGACTAACGCAATAGTGACCTGTACTACTTCACCCTCACCACTATCCAGATAAGTTACAAAAAGGGGAATCAAATCCACTTGGTGTTTTTCGGCTGCACGTTACCGGTAAGTCCCCAATGAAACCGATGAACTAAGTAGGTTCCAGTTAGATCAAGCGATCAAATATAAATTTACCTGATGTTCAGTTGTTCGCCGAGCTTGTGATTGTCCCAAGCTCGGTGAACAACTGAACATCAAGTAATACTACCCGAGCTACAAAAACGACAATCAACACCGTTGTTTACAAAACTGTCATAAATTTACCTTTATTTTGCTCAGTGGTTGTAAAACAACCAAAGGGGCTTGATTCACCACCAGTCGCACTTCAGACCCTGTGATCAGAGAAATTTGTTATCTACCTGATCAATCAACCACTTACCGGAGAATCCGAACAGAGTTTGCACTTGTCCCAGATGACGATCAATCTCCACAGATGTGCAGTTGAGGATCAATGGTTGTGCAGCAATCAGCTCCACGGTATCTGTTTGACTGAATCCACGTTGAACAAAATAAGTGAATCGATTCGATAACTCAGCAGTAGACAACTGAACAAGTACCAAAACAAGAGGTTTTCAATTGTCAACCAGTAAATAAGTACCTTGAGTAGTTTGGGGAATCGGGTAAGCAAGTGTGCTATTTGCTTAAGGTTAAATCCGAGGTCGTTCAAGGTCCACAACATTGGTTCAATCACTTTATGAAAGTCCATCTTGACCAACATATTAGCCGCTCCAGGGATCATTTCAACCTTGGATAAATCAACTCCTAGCAAAACTATCTGTTGTAATGTATGCGATCTGCAAAGTGAATGACACATGGGGATATATACCTTGGTACATAAGGTGCAAGATTCCCAGCGGGAAGAACCGGAACGGTGAGTGAATTTAGATCGAGGTCCTTGAACCACTTTCGAACGAGCTGCACGGACTCAATAATACTCTGGTCCTGGTTGACAATAGACGAGATTGGAATTGGACTCTCACCGGGGTGCTCGTATACACCTAAGGGGACATCTGTCTTTGGAAGTTCGATTGATACGACGGGTTTCATTGGGGCAGGGATAGGTATGTTTGTTTTTGATACTGTCTCTTCATTTATCTTGGTCTCAAGTACATCATCCAACGGTCTTCGAAGCAAAGTCGGACGTTTATGACCAGTAGGTCTTTGATGGTCACATTCGTTAACATTGTCCGGACCCGGAGACAAAGTCTGCGTAGCATCCTGCTCCGTAGAACGTGAAAGGAAGGTTTGAATCAATGACTTTAGGTATTCCTCTTGAGCACATGAAGATCCCGCACTAGATCGGGAAACGGACGCCCAAGGTGAATAGGTTCGACGAAGGATTTGCGAGCAACACCTCAATAGCGGGATACTACCTTTCATAATCCATATAGTATGCTGAAATATAAACAGGAAATTAATGTAGCCGGGGAACGTAGGCACTGCTGACAAATCCCAAACAGCTATATACAGTGTTCTGTCGGTCATCATAAAGATTTCCATCATGTTTAAAGAAAATTCATGTACAAGAAGAACTACCAGAACAATTCCGTTTCTCTTTCAAGTGTTATGTTTAACATACTGGTGGAGGGGTATTACAAACAACCCTCGGTAATTAGAGCAACGGCTATTACCATTTCGCACTATTCTTTGGTCCCCGGCTGCTTTTTCAACATAAAAAATGTCAACCAACGTGTCAGCAACTCTGCCTTTATCGGAGGCAGTGTTGATGCAGCACACTCAGAAAGCAATTGCACAGTCGGTTCGTGACAATTAAACAAAGCTGCCCGAAGCAGTAGGTTGTCACACCATTTACTCTTCAAATTCATTAGAGACCAACTGGGGTTGGTACCTAACGCGGTAACCGCAAAAGTTGTAAACTGAGGCATCCGTATAATCGGTCGAGGTAAAATACTGAAAAACATTGTATCTATACCTCAGGTAACACCACAAGACCATTCAAAATAGTGATAAGTCGATCAACCGATCTAGGTTAATCCGCAGGACAAATCCAAACGGAGGTGAGAACGCAAAACACATTCACTAATGCACCAAGCCTTGCGAACACCAAAATGGACCTCCATAAACAGACCTTGGGAATAATAAACGAACAATAAAATGTTCATGTTTTTATTCACCTCGAATTCACATCCACCAAAGTTTGTTGTGTCAGTCTCGGTCTTAGACACTCCAAAAAGTCGAAACATTTTGGTACCTTTCATCTTTCACGGAATGCTGTAGGAAAGTTAGGAAGGAGCACCAGACAACTGTTTCGTCTTTTTTAGACTCATCAGCAGCGAGTTATATTCATATTTCCCTACTGGGATTCGATCCGTAAACCTTCAGGGTGGCAGTCTAAATCTTTATTCCTCAGCCATAATCGACAGCGAGGTAAGCACTTGTTTTATTTACCAAACTTAAGATAATTTGTTGGACTAATAGTGCGCACTGATCAGGAAATGAGATAGAACTGTGTTTGTCAAACAACTGAACCAAGGGATTAGAAAATATCTGAAAATTTACCTAACGAAACAGCACAAAAGCCTGATATAGATGTTTACTATCTACGAGTTGTTGCCCAAAGAGGTAAAATAGAGGATGTAGTAACAAACACAAAGTAGGATTCGGATTTATCTCCGGCCCGCGTGTGAAGAATCTCGCCGTGATAGCGTGAGCACATTTGAAGTTAATTATCAGAATGGTTTGATCAGGTGCAGCGGACCGCGACGCGAAGAGTACGAATACAATTTGTTTTGCGGTCAACCAGGTGAACTTTAGACGACTGATAGAACTAATTGTTTAACTACGCCTCGTTCATCTCGATGGTACAATACTCGGATTCGGAAGCTTATGTAATGCCCACAAAGTAGATCTGCTTAACTCGCAACCAATACAACAAATGAAAGACGAAAAAGTCATATATGCTATGCTTATTCCTCAATGCAATCAATAACTTCAATAAAAGAAATTGGCCAACATCGTGGAAGTCGTTCTAATGAATGTGTTCATGGGCAAACGTAGTTTACGAATGCGCCACATCTGACAGACATGACACCAACTAAAGAGAGGACATAGTGACAATCATACGAATATATAAGATTTTATTAGGACCACTCAACCTTCACCGGAGATTTTCGGGCCGGATGATCATACGGCAAGAGTTTAGTTCGCTTACACAACTGAAGCTAACCGATGCAGAGGAGAATATAGGCCTAGTTGCAGGCAGCATAATTCGTTGAAAATACACTGATCGTTATTAATGGACATACAATGGCAACTCCTGTAAGAATAGCACAATATGTCGGAGTCAGTCGAAGACCAATGATCGAAAGTGAGCATAGTCATCTTTGCCCGGAACGAAGATAGCCGGTCGATACGCAGGAGCGGTGAAGCATATATGATGAGAAAAAACATAAATCTTCCCCGATGAATCGGCTCCGGTTGATTTTGGAAAAGGGCATACCGTTGTACTATTCGATAACACGAGTGTTTACAAAACTAGTGACAAGTTGTAACCTCGTTATTTAGTTGACCAGTTTCGGCATCTCGAAGATTTCACAAGACAAACGCGTGCATAACTCAACAAAACGTGACCAGAAGGGACTGGGATTACGCAGATAGCTTATTCACAATTTCAGTAGTTGATGGCCTAGGTTAGGAGTTACATAGACGATCATATTCAATTTTCATTGCTTGCATTTTGGTCACAATGCGAGGCGAGGAAAAGTCTGCACCTAAAATAAACAACCAGTATTCTTTGTCACGGTGATTGACGAGTGTACTCTGACGGGTACCTAAACATCTACAACACCTAGTATCATCAGAAAACAACCACCTACAATCTCCGGGGAAAAACGACCGACTGTTCTAGAGTGAGGCGATGAACGAAACAAAAAAAGATAATGGATCGTGTCAGAACATATATGGACAAAGGAAGATGGGTGCGAATACCACCGGGAACAACAACCAAATGGGACAATCACGTTCGGATGTTGAAGTGAGAACGCGTATGGCAAGGCTCCTGTTTTGTGTTCTTTTTTATGTAATGATCAAGCAGTGAACAGACGGAAGATGCAATGCACAAACAAGCTCAGATAATAAAGAATGCACAGAGTCACTGGAGGAAAGACCGTGGGGAGACTGAGCAGTGTCAAGTGCAACTGTACAGTCCATGATATCCGAGAGCACTGATTGACACAGATGAAAGAGAATATTGTGAGACTAATTGACAATAGGTAGAATAATCCGTTGAATTAGCGAACGGAAGCGGTTAGGAGGGGCTGAGAGACTTGGAGCGAGTGTGAAGATGTTTTAACAGTGCTACTGAAGAGTGAATAAACGAGCGAGTCCGCAGAGGAGGCCGTCGGGCAGAAAATATGTCTACCTCTGCTGAGTCAAATGCAAGGACGAAAGAAATAGACCAACCCATAGAATGAGTTCGTAAAATCGTAGTTTCTTTGTCGGTACTGGAAGCGGATTTATTCGTAGGATTCGGACTGCCTGAATGGCGCTGGGAAACGCCATTGTGTGGTTCTGTACAGCATGGAAAGTGGACGCAGGATCGAGAGACTCAGGATATTGCAATAGTGCTGTTTTCCGGAGTCATCGAGTCCTGGAACGAAAAAACGAATAATTGCATGTAAAAACGGACCAATGTTTAAACGTTTATCGACAAAGTCAAAGCTTTCTTATGCGCGATTTAACAAAGCTAAAGCTTATCATGCCCCATTGGATTTTTACAGATTCTTGTGAATAACTTTGTCAAGAGAAAATAACAATGACAATAATACGCATGATCACTCACGGATGCTGAAATTTTAAGACAACGAATATGCCTACCTGTGAACATTTCACCCACTGAATTTGCAACTAGTAGGCTTTCAAGGAGGAAAAACTTACCATGGTTAGTTGCCCTGGAATCCAACACAGTGCATCGATTTTTACGGAGCGACTACGAGCTTAATACTCGAAATTGTAGGACCAAAACAATCACGAATTATGTAGAAGTTAACTCCCTCCATTTTTCGGAGCAATATTGACTTTACCATATACGCATTTACCGGATCATCATAATAGGCTTATATAACTAAGATGATATACGCGAGTAGTGAATAGAACCCAAGCTAAATAAAGTGTGATTAGTGAATCTAAGGAATCACTTAAAAGGTGACACGCGTGTTACTTACGTCTAGGAATAGAACGACAACTGTTGCAAAAACGACCAAATTCAGGTAAATTATGCAAGGAGGTTAGCAGGTTTTCGCGTTTCGGGCGCCTACTGTGAAAGTTGTACACTGTAGTTCGTGAAATGCTTCTTACTTCATGAAACACACTTTTTTGTTTTATTTATCTTTCCAGTGGATTCGTAAGAACTGGCGTACAACTGTACGAAACGTTCTACCTCTTTCAGCCTCGTTTTATGCCTGACCACCGACAGTAAGTTAGCCAGACAGCCACTACAATAAGATAACTGAATACAACAAAAAGCGAATAACAAATGGTTAGCTACAGAAGTGACAGTACTTGTAAATCCTGTTCGGTTTCAATGAGACCATTGACTTGTAATAGCTGATACTGTGGATGGGTAAGTCGACTGACATCGACACGCAAACTGCCTAACACCTCTGCCCAATTGTACTGCGAATGAGACAGACGGGATAAAGCTGCATCTGGGTCCGGAGATTGGGAACACTCGGCAGCTTTGGTGAGTAGACGCATCGCTTCCACTGGAGTATTTGGATCCAGAACGATCAATGCGGTGGGTTCATCATAGCTGTCCAACTAAAATATGACAACATTATGAACGCATTGAGGTTCGTTGTAACTAGGAATTTGTTTCGCGATCGAAAAAAAGGAATAATGCATAGAGTATTAAGCAACACGTCCAAATTAGGATGAGAAGGGTTTGACTGATTGGCTGAATGCACTGCGCTGCGCATCACTGCGATGATCAAATAGTAAAGTACCGATTTGGAAGTCACGTGGAATGAAAAGTCTGACACTTGCACATATGTACATACGTGCTGATTTAGGTGAATTATTAAAGAAAAATGGCGTGTTTTCAGTTAATTCCATCATGAATAACCTAGTCTCAGTGAAGCTCAAAGCCATGTATGGGACCCCACCTATACATCTCGACAACGAAACATTGTTTACAAGGCAACATTATGTATGGCATGATGTGCAGAATGATCGCTTGACTAATTTAAAAAAACAACTAAGTTCAAAAGGTTATTCCCAACTACTAGAACCAGATATACCTTCGACATAGAAATAACTAATGTGTTTCGGTCCGTTTAAGTTGATGTCGTTCATTCAAATACAGTGAACAATTGGTATGAGGGAAGCCCCGACAACATACAGATTACACGGCGATCGCGTTTGTAAACTCATTTAAGCAACCCGGAACTCAATCATAATCCACGTGGAAAGAAAGCTTTATTTAATAGAGGATTGCACATAGAGACGACATAAAAAATAATCCAACTGCCATAATATAAGACGGTTAAAGAATGAGTTAGTCGGGGGAAATTGAAAGGCAACTCACTTCAACACCTATCACAACACGACTGTGACCCTCGTGTTGCAGTATCATGGGTACGGAGAAGGTCTGAAAAAAAGCCATGGAGCCGTGTAATTCATGGATAGATACGCACAAGGGGACCAGCAAAAGAATACATGGTTTAGCAAAGAACGCATACCTCAAGCGAAGTGCTGCTCACACGACCACTTAGGATGTACGAATAGACGTGTTCCAGAAGCCTGTAAACCAAAGGGAAACCAGACTTGAAGACATCCTTTATAAAGAAGTTTGAAGAAGTGAAAAGCAAACTGGTTCTGAATAATTGAAAGCTTTCACAACAACGAAAATTTCGTGTGTGATGATTCAAAGGCAGTCCTTTGATTGGTCCTTCCCGGTTCCTGAAAAATGGATCTTTGTGTATTCAATAAGAGGAAGTAACAATCTGAAAAGAATAAACTCATTCAATGTCCTGCAGGATCCTGGAATTGAGTGTGACCTTCATGGGTCTTTGGGTGTCCGTTTCGGTCCTCCAGAGCTTGTCTACTCACGACACGTGAAATATTATTTGTTAACCACGAAAATCACACTGTAATGACCGACATCAAACATTGGACAACTGTTTCGTTTTTGTTGGGACTCGTCAAGATTGCGGATGTTTTGTGTAGTCTTTCACTCAAGAATCAGGCTTTAGATAGGTCACGGTTGTGAATCCTCAAGAAAATTCACCTACTTTGGTCCAGGTAACCAGTAAATCAAGGACCTTTATCTTCTTTATAAAGGTTATTGAATGGAGATCTGTTTGTAACGAAGTCTGCAACCAGACGTTTGTGGAATACACACACACTCAAGGTGTTGATCCTTGATTCATGGGTAAGTTCAGTTTCAGTTTAAACAACCATAAAGCTTGCACTTCCGTGCGTCGCTTTTGGTCGCTGTCTTTTGGCTGCCCATTTGGATGAACAATAGTAGGAAAACAGGAAGGTTGAAAGTATGTTCGGAGAGAAAATTGAGAAGTTCGGTGGACTAATGATGCAAAGGAATAAAGATGCACGAACGCCACTGTTTACGACACCCAGCCATATCACTCAATGTCTAACCATCGGGTACGATCATCCCGAGGTCCCCAGCCAGGGAGCCTAACGGGACCTATGTGACCCAGACTCCTGGTCAGGGTTTTCATACCCTCATACCAAGTCTTAACTTGACCAATCTTGGCTTCATTTCACTCACTACCTGCCTCGGCAAACATCCCTTGACGTGGCAACCTATCTGGTGACATGCGTAACACATGCCCCGGCCAACGTAATCTCCAGTGGGCTCCAGTAGGCGACCGCGGTTGCCTAAAACTGCGCCTGACTTCAGTNCAGTATTGCTCGTCCGGCTGCCCCATCAGACTCGTGCAATGCTGTGAAGACAGTGGTGTTCAAACACCGACAGTCTATCTTTGTCCTGTTTCGTTAATGGCCAAGTTTCTGCTCCATATAGCAGAACTGGTCGAACTGCTGCAGCATACACTCGAACCTTCAGACAGCCGGATATCGAGACGGCGCCACAGATATCTCAAGTTGGCAAATGCCAACCGAGCCTTCTGTATGCGAGCTGACACTTCATCCGTGATGCGTCCATCGGGTGAGATGTAGCTGCCCAAATAACAAAACTTATCCACCTCCTCGATTACTTCCCCAGTTAGAGTGACAAAACTTATCCACGTGCTCTATTACTTCCCCAGTTAGAGTGAGGCTGGGTGCTGGACCACTTTATGCGAGCTGACACTTCATCCGTGATGCGTCCACCGGGTGAGATGTAGCTGCCCAAGTACATTCACCTGCTCTATTACTTCTCCAGTTAGAGTGAGGCTCGGTGCTTGGTAAACAGTAGTTACCTGCTCTATTACTTCTCCAGTGAGAGTGAGGCTGTGTGCTGGACCAACCCAGTCTTGTAGTAACATTTTACACTTTTTGCTCTATTACTTCCCCAATTAAATTGAGTCTGAGTGCTGAACCAACCCGGTCTTGTAGTAGCATTTTACACTTTGAATGTGCGAAACACATACCGAACATGGCTACGCTGGCACTCAAGCTATCCAGAAAAGCTCGCAACTTAATGGGTCTTCACTTAGTAGCACAATGTCGCCTGTATACTCTAGATCAGTCAGTCAGTCTGACACCTGAAGGTAAATCGATTCCACTATCTTCGCACGAGGATAGGGCTGTTTCTATAATTAAATCTACGACAAAATTAAACAGAAACGGAGAGGGTTAAGGGAATGAGAACAAAGTCTGACTACTTGCATTATTAATTTCTCTACAAAGACAACATTTGGGAGATCAATCGGATCCTAGATGAAACTCGTATCGAATATTCGAGATAGCATTTTTCTCCTTTCTTGCCCAGTGCTGTGACACATACGACTTTATAAGCTTTTTCCGCATACGAAAGTGACACTGAACTCACCTGGGATGAGTGCTGTTGGGTCCTGACGGTGCTCGACACTCCAGCAATGAGCATCGTACACCGATTGATCCGAAAAGGCTCACCAAATCCGAAACACCCAACCACGCAGTGCTATCGACCAGTCCAACCAAATTTCGACTGTCTAAAACCACCTCTGCATCATCGGATGGAGAGGCACGAAAACTATCGGAGCCCAGAACCGAGGCTAATTGGGATGCACCTAATGGATCAAAGCCGAGGGTCCATGCACCTTCCAAAAGAGCTTGCAACTTCCATACGGAAGGCATGGCTGAGAGTCCTGAAACGATATAATTAATTACCTGAGTTAGTTCCGGCTAGCTTTGAAAGGGGATCAACGGGAACAAATGTTCACAACAAAAACAGGCGCAAAGGTGTAACGAACACGTATAAAAAGTTAAACATCATCGTCCCGTGCAATTTTTTTCTTTTTTAGACACCGTAATGTCATAAACAGCAGACGAAGTAAACCCATGGTCACGCGGACCTGCTGTTCAGTGGTGGAAACGAGCAACCGAAGTCCAGAGTCTTGGAGAGGCGAACCATATAAGACCCCGATAAGCGAGACTCCTTTAACTCGTCTAGTAGACAATGAAAAAGGATAACCAGACCGACACTCGAAAGATTCTTCGCCTTTTCGTGATATAATTTGTGGTGTAAAACGTCATGCAACTTTCTTCACTGGGTACCTCATACGCATGAGGATAATGTTGTGGATAAGATAAACTGAAGCTAGAGCCTCTAACTCTGCCGATCTCTTACGTGATAATCAAGGCCGTATTCAACTTTGTTCAATTGGCCCTTACTGTGCACAATGGAACGACCATCACATCTAGTGAGCATATCAAGATTGACTTGTAACAACCACCTAAGAATATTTCCGTATCATGCGCTGACGCTTGTTGAAGTGCTTAACAAACTGACGTAAGCACAGCCAATTCGTGCAATTCAACCACCTATATCCGTGAGAAAACCTTTCTTGCTATATTTCGAGTCACATATAGGACGGTCATATGAGAAAATTGCTGCGTGATCATCCCATTCACATGGGGATAAAAAGTTAGTGAGTTACAAATCAGGATAGAAAATTCCACGTCAATTTGAGAGTTCGGGCAAATGAGCGGTAGGATGATATAAAAAACGCAACAAACTTTTGTTTTTTCTTCAATTTTTCACAAATGCGAAGACATGAGATTATGGAGTCAGATGGGCTTGTATTTCAACGCATCACTGTATTAGGCTCGAATACGGATGCAAACGTCGATTCAATGAAGTCGATTTTACATCTTACCACATTCCTATCAACACACCGGAGCTTTGTTCAATCATAAAATGCTCCCGTAACCGTGTTTTATCCTAAATGTTGCAAGATTAAGAACAGAGATATATACGTGACAAATTCCCAACTTTGGATTTTCCACTTCCAGAGATATGATTAACTGCTAGCATCTCATTTTTCAGTGGAGTATCTAGTTACCGGTGGTGTAGATATCATGCGTGGATGAATATGTCCTTTTCAGACGCGTTTTCAGTCCGTAAATTAGCAAGCAGTTGAGCTGGAATGGCATCCGTGGAAAATGCACTCTGTTAACATGGAATTACAGANGTAATTATGGGTGAGCGGTAATGCAGTGAGTTTAAACACAATCAAGTCGCGCCCCATATACAGTATATCCTTGGATTATGGGGTTTAACTCTTTTGGTGTATTCACTTCTATGCAATGAAAATTCCCGAAAAAGCATCTAATGCAAGATAGAAACTTTTTACATTATAATGCAATGGGTGAACAGATTCTTACGCTGGTGACAGGAAAATAAGAGAACCGTTGTTATCTTCGTGGATGAACACCTTCCTGCATTAACAGAAACTCAAGAACCCGACCAAAGTAATTGCCCTATGTACCCAAAAGGATGACTTGACAAAAATGAAAGCTGTTACTACCCTCCGGTCCTGTAACGCTCCATCGAGCAAACGAACATCCACTCTTTTAAATGCAATCGCAAACAAAAGATCAAAGGACTTCTTGGATTGAATCGACTCCGATTTTCAAAGTAGGCTACAAAAAACCTTGCACGTTCTGAAGGCAATACACTTTGTCCTGATACAATCATCCGCAGCTTCTCGGTAACCAAACCAACCCAAATGATCAAATTTGTTATGACGAAGATGATGACAACTCATTACCGAGGTGAGAAGCCAAACGGATTTGAATAAGACTTTGCCAAAATGAGTTGCCTTATAAAAATGTGTCTCTGGAGTGTGATAGGTAAAGGCAAATTTGACTCTAAAAGCGACCGTTTCCCCCAATTTTTCCTTATTTTCCTAATTATTTTTATAAAATTTGAATTTCCGGATTTTTGAGCCAAAAAAGACTCATACCCCACCACCGGTCATACTTGATCCTCATTGGTCCATTTTTCCACGACCCAATACTTTCGAGAAAATTCCAAAGGTCGATCGATCCCTAAACTGCATACAAACACGAGCTGTCCGCTACCTTCGCCTTTACAGTCGAGTCCAATACACAACCTCGCCTGAAGGCCTGTCCTCCGTGTTCTTCCTGGTCGAATTCGAGGATCGTACTACTTTCGCGGGGAGTTCTTTTCCGCTCCATTGGGATTTGCGTTGGGTACCGCAGTTGGGCGTATTCGTGTATCGTTCACTCGGTCGCTGGGTCGCATAGTTTTGTTTCCGTTCCTTGCCGCCGCACGAATAGTTTTGTGTTGCATGTCACGCTAGTTCGGCCGTACTGTCCATCCCAACGTTACAACAGGGTGAGAAATGCCAATACCTACATCCCAAGAAAATAACGACAATATCCAAATGGTGACAAGACATACCAACTTCTATTAGTCATGACTGAAATGCAACGCTCAACTTTCAATTAAGTTATAGGTTGCCTGCACCCCGAAAGTGTTCTGCCCATGAAGGACAACTGTCTTGAATTTGTGGGCAAAATGGAATACCTTCGCATACGCGGAAACCCAATGCGTCAGCAGATCCCAAAAATTCTCATTGGGGTTCAAATCTGGGCTGTAGACTGGCAACTGTGTGGTATTGATGTTCCGGTGTAATAGTCACATTCCAATGGGCTCTTTGCATAGAGGTATTATCGCATTGAAAATTTGTATTTCCTCATTGATTTTCGGGGATCGCGGAGAGGAGAAGCTCATTCAAGGTCGTGAACTTAGATTCAGCCGCCTGATTCTTTTTGAGAATTGTCAACTGGGCCTTTTCATCCGCATATTTGGTATTCCAGACCATAACAGAATCCCCTTGGTAGTTAACTTTATGTCCGAAGTCTATCCTACTCTTAAGTAGGTCATGCCAGTATTACGTAAGTCCATCAGAACCGTCGAGGTTAAACTTGTCCTCGTCGATGAATAACACACTGTTCTATTCAGAAGTTCAGTTGATATGACTTTTAACCCACACTACTCAATCATCAACATGACGTTTTGTTATCCATGTTGCTGATTTCATCTTTCTGAATTGTAAGTTTGGTGCAGTTTGTCAGTTCGGTTCACTTTTTACAACCATGTATTTTCGTACACTCGCTTTGGTTGTCTCCAGACTACCCATTTGGATGGAGTAAAGGGAAAATTAGAATGGTCAAGGTGTCAGTGAACTTGGAGAGTTTATAAATACTGAGCGTGCAACGGAGATATAGTAATTGCACAAGTGTCACTGTTTACGACACGCAACCATATTACTAAGTGACTCTAACCTTTGACTACGCTGATTCGAAAATCCCCATCTAGGAGGCCTTATGCTAATTATGTGAGCAAGTCTCCTGGTAAGTGTTTTCACACCTACATGCCGGGCCTCAGCGTGAATACCCTTTACGTTTTTCACTCATCACCAGCCTCGATAAACCTCGGGGGAGCAGAGGTGTATGCTACCGAGCGCGTCTCCAGGTCGCGGATAGGGGGACGGT